CTATGTTTGTTGATAGCGGACGAGAAATCATTAACATGAACTTTTTATTTCATGGCATGGGTGGAACGGCTGACGACGCACGGATACGCTACCGTGTGCAGCGCCGTTTAGTCAGACGTCGCGGCCAGCAGTCAGGGTCGCAACTCCTGAGGTTAAGGGTCAGGCCCCGGCTCACGAGGACCACGCCCGGTAGGCCTCGCCACGAACCTGCTCCCGGCCACTGCACCCAGGCAGGAGTCGTTCAGCAGGCCCCGTCCTTGCACCTTGTACCGGCCGGCGGACTCGACCCCGAGCAAACACGCCGGAGCTCGACCTGGCCGACACGTACGGGTCCCACGTCCGGCTCAGGAACGCTCCCAGGAACTCGTCCTCTCGAGCGGCGCACTGCTTCGTCTGCCTTCGTGGCCTCCACGCTCGAGCTCGTTTTCGCACGTTCCTCCTTGGCCAGGGCACCGCCAGGTACCCTCGGGTGCACCCTGCAGCTCATGAGCTCGTGGCCCACGTCCGAGTCTGGCCCGTCGCTCGGCACCGCTCGGCGATCCTAGATTCAGCCAGTCTCTCCCCTGGCATCTGAATCCTCGGCCACCCTGAATCCTCACCCGGCTCCGTGCTCCTCTGTGCGCACTCCCGCGTCTCGCCCGGCAGAACATCTCGCTCGTCCCTTGCCGAAGTGCGACGCTCTCGTGACACCGGCGCTTGATGGCATGGGTGCGGCCACGGAGCAGTCAACCCGCATCGGAGACGCGATGCTCCATGCGGGGCATGGCCAGCCCGTCCAGCGAAGAGCGTGCGCCGAGACGCGATGCTCGACGCATCCGTGACCATTAGCCAGGCCACGTTCATCGCTGTGTCGAACGGCTGACCGTGGAGACGCCTCGCCGAGATCCGCGATGCCCTCGGCAAGGAAGAGAACAGCAGGCCAGGCCGCGCCCCGAGATGCAGTACTCGTGCCGGCAACGCCGCCCCAGCTGGTAGTTGGACGGCAGTAGCGTGGACGGCCGCGTTCCCTGGCCGGAACCTGGATCGCCTGCGTCCGACGCTTCGGCCCGCTGTCTCCCGTCTGCCGCTGCTTCGGCTCGTCCCCAGCCACAAAGCCCACTGCCACGCGATGGTCGCCCGTGGCCCAATCGTGGCACGCCACCTCTATGGGCCACCACTGGTCATCGGCTGATTGGCGCACAGTTGCCTCGTAATCGCACGTGCCTTCTTCTTCTCTTCTTCTTCATTTCTTGTTGTCGCCCTCGTGCCACCTGCCCTCCGCTCCTCTTCTTCAGTTCTAGTTTAACATTCCTCGGCGTCTTTAAGTCCTTTCCTTACACCAGGTTTCTAGTAATAAGATTATATCCGGATATAACTGATTAAGTAAGGAAAGTAAGTCAGTAGAAGCAGAAATCAAAGACCTACAATTCCACTGTAGTACTTTCAAGGTATCTATGTTGACGAGCGAAACACTTCAGCAACGGCAGCTTCTAAAATACTCTCCTTAATAAGTGCACTAGCATTTTCTTTGCCCTTTTTGGGTTTTGTGTTTGGGCAAGGAGATTTTAAAAGAGATCCAGTGTGCTTCTGACGCCTGAAATCTTGGCATACGTCCACTTTATTCTGATCCTCCGCGTGGGTCGACGTAGAAGGTACGGACAAAATTGGGGTTTTCTCCTCTCGGGATTGCCGCTGTGGGGCTAAGTTCGGTGTCTCTTCCACTGCACAAAGTGCCCACTTTGCCATCGGTACTTCTACTGCAGAAGCCAGCTGTGTCATGTGTGAGCAAAACACTTGAGAGATGCACTCACTTACGCTCGTAACTATGTGTTCCAGTGCTTTCGACATCGCCTTTTTTACTGCAGCCTCAATAAGATTAGGAAACTTCGTCTCACTTAGTTGTTCGGGCCTCGACGCGACTCCGGCATATCCAAAGGCCCTATCCTTCACAACTGTTATTGCTTCTCGCTGCGAGCAACGACGTCTGTCCATGATTTCTAGAAGTTGCGTTTCATTAGACCTTGCGGTGCAGTTCAGATGATCGGCCGCGTGATTTCCTGCACAGAGGCAGCCCTTGTCGGTTTCGGCGTTGCACTCCTTCGATGGGTGGGTATCGCCACAGATGCGGCAACATGACATTGATTTACAGCCCCCTGCACTGTGACCAAAACGCCAACAGTTTTGACATTGGAGAGAACGAGAAGCGAGACGTTCGACTCTGAAAATTAGCGGCCATATTTTCAACTCAGATGGACCGGAAGTGCCGGCAAAGGTAGCAATAACCAACTGAGTGGGAACTTTCTCACCGTTAACTAATCGGTTGCATCGGTACACAGCTATGACCCCAGCATCAGACAGCTTTTCCAGAGTCTCAGCGGGCGTTATTATAGAGTCGACTCCTCGTACAAGTCCCTTAGTGCACGCTAAATGAGGCGGGATAAATGCGCTCCCCGGGACCGAAGCAAATGTCTTGCATTTTAGGATATCAGAAACGTACGAAGGATCTGACGATCTGCATACCAAACCACCTCTTTCGAACTGACGAACATCACTCATCACCTGAGAGTGCGGCGTCATGGCCTGCAACTCCACCTGGATCGCCTTCGGGTTGTCGAGCCTAATAAATCCACCATTCGAGGGCACCAGCGCAACAGGGATGTTGCCAACACCACTGCGGAAAAAATATTCCAATGGCAATTCATCATTAGGCAAGGAGGCTCACCAAGGGCTGTGCCCATGGCCAGGAGATGAATTAGACATTAGCACTGATTCGATTGCTTAAAGAAGTAGTATGCAACGTCAGCTAGTTTCAACAGGTCAAATTCACCCAAAGCTCAGCCAAAACACCGTCCGAAAGAGTCCGAAAAGACGAGCCCGGCACCAGTTCCACGACCGTGACTCTTCGTCTTCGCCCAGTCCAGCTCATATCCCATGTTTATTCCGTTCTGCACTACTTCCTCCTCTTCTTCTACCAACCGTCGCTACCTTTTTACGTTATATATATATATATATATATATATATATATATATATATATATATATATATATTTGCCCCTAACAACTGAAGCCCTCCCCCCCCACCTTGACTCTAAAGTGGCTTGTCACCGCCTCGATGCAGTGCGTTTAAAACGCGTTTGTATGGCTTTTGTGTTTATAAGACGCTCACATTATGGCCGTCCGGTACAATAACAAGTGCAGTGCTTCACTGCTCCTTTTCCCACCGTTCGCTCTCTTTCCTCTCTGCGCCACACTTTCTCGTCCACTCGCGCCTCCCTCTCGACTCTTGGCAGACTGGGCGCCTCTCAAGAACATACGGAAATGTGTGCTCGAGACGCCTTTGGATTCGCTCGCAGGATTTCAAGCTGGACGGTTGTGCCCTCGCGATCTCCGACTTCAGCGTAGCTCCCGCCGACTGGTTCGCCCTCCGCGGTCTCCTGACGCCGTGTAGCTCTCGCATTGTGGCACCCCGCCCTTGGACTGCTTCGACCGGATCCCCACTTTCCTATCTCCTTCTTTTTCCTCTCGTTGGCTGTCTTCTTCTGCTTCTACTTTCCTTCTATTCTTTTTATCCCTCCTTCCCCCCACCCCTATAAGGCACTGCGCCGTGTCGCCTGAAGGCAGACAGAAATTAGGTGCCTTTTTCCTCTTCATTGTAACCACTACCACCACGCCTTTGTCAAACGCTGACGCCGAGCTTGAGAACGCTGCTTCTTTTGTTCACTTCATAGAACTCTAATCGTGCATGCTAGCTACTAGCAGAGTTATTCAATCATCTCTGAGCTACTAGAGCTGTGAACGCATACCGCATTTTTCGCGACAGAAAAACCCCCCGTGTAGGGAGCCTACATGAACGGCCGTTTTTAGGGTGGAGACATCTTAATAAGTGCCTTCAAGAAACTCAGCCAAAACCAGCGGGCAACGGGGCACGCTGTTGCTAGCTTCTACCAAATTCAGCATAGTTTTCTGTGCGCCGCCATTTTGGCCAGTGCCCAGCCCTTGTAACAACACACAACACCTGGGCTTTTGACAGCGGCGGTTCTCAGGGTCGTGTAAGCGACCCAGTTCTCAAAGTGAGCGCACGGAGAAATTCGCAGCCCACACACAAACACTTGCGACATAATACTGAGGTTACGCTGACACGAACGCAAGCGTGGCAACAGCTCAGACTAGCGAGCGCGTCTCCGTACGAACGCGCGGAGGCGTCCTGTTTGTGGGCTTCCTACTCGCAATGCGTGGACGCAACAAGGACAACATCGGTTATCTACTCATTCGCGAACACCGCTAAACACATATACGTGTGCCGCAGGAAAAAACAGTGAAAGAAATACGCAGTACTCACAGAGCAAATACGAGACGCACTGGTGGGCTCCCAGCCGTCTCGCTTCACTTGAGCCAGCCATAGTTGTCGTCGGCCAGGGCTCGCTGGGAAGCGGAACATTCGTACCCCCTTTCTGTTGTGGTTAGTGCAGAGCGGTACGCAGCATCCAGGCATTCTAAGGCTTCACCGGCAGCGTTTAACACGCTACCGCAACGCTCGACGCCGTATTATTGAGAACTAAACGCAACCGGGCGTAGACGCAGTGCGGGCACCAAGATGGGGCGACAGCGCGGCGTTGCTGTCTGGCAACACTGTGTTTTGGCGGGCGGCGGTGCGTTGGCGGCATGTAGTGGGTCAAAGGCTGACATCACCCTAAAAACGGCCGTTCATGTAGGCTCCCTACCCACGTGCGGCGAACGCCGCTACTCGCTGCACGTTTTAAGAAAAAAATAGAAAACAATATTATTCTAACGCCGTATCAGACGCTACGCAATGCATTCCTATTTAATCACGATTCCATTAGGAAAGATGGGGGCATTTTTCATGATGGCAACATGACTCGCATTTTCTCCTTTCTATGTTTTTTACAAAAACGAATACCAGCATGGTACTTCTTATAAAAGGTTAACTGCCGTAAAGGAGCTTCAAAGAAGACAATGCGTCACCTGTGGAGTATATTGCGCAATGCCTTGTATTTTCACAGATCGAAAGGAGAACGCTACAGAGGTATTGATCTACCAAACTGAAAACAGCACATGCGCCGTGTTTTGGATCCTAACCTATAAAAGAAGTATGTATGCAGCTTTTGATGAAAGTCCGTTGCTCTTTTCACTATATCTTTAAGAGTGTCGTTCAGCATTTGAAATCGCCTTTCAGTCTCTATTTGCAAAACACTTTAAGTTAGATTGGCTTGAACATTATTCAGTAATTTTTCTAATATTCTAAATATAGCTGAATCGCTCAGTCATTAAGATGAGCCATATGCTTGAGTCAATTTTTATAGTATGTGCGTTAAAAGCGTAAAACTTGCGTGGTCAAGTGATAATGAATATTTTGTTACCACTAAACTTAATCTGAAATCAAAAAATTAAGAAAATACCAAGAAAAGGCAATTTGTGAGCAGTAGACGCTGCCGGATCTCACTTTTCTACTATTAGATCTGTCGTCAATACGTGTTTTTTTCTGTTCTGTGACCGGTAGACACAAACCGATTCAGTTGTGCGTCCACACAAGCCGTACAATCGCAGCCTGCCATTGCGAATGGCTAGCAGGCTGCGTCCGTGCGACTGCTGCGAACGCTTGACTAAATCTGTCTTTTAACTCATAAAACCACCAAATACGTGAAACTGCTCTAGCAAGGGTCATTTAAGAAGCAAGAACACAGAAAAAAAGCCGTCACCACTTCTCACGCTGACTTGCCGGAAACAAATGTTCTCGAGTATGGTGGGCTTAAATTCAGAAGAATGGCGGGTTGGTCGGCTGAGAATTTGAACCATCTGAGGCCAGTAAGACTTAGTGTGATGTAGTGAGCTAGCAAATAAGTGACCACCCTTATTTCTTGTTTACGCGTGGTAGTGTAAAAAGAGAACCAGTAGGGTGTAATGCTTGTAAACACGTGAATATAACCTAAGCTTCGTGACCTTTCATCACAATGCACAAATAAAAGGGACGCCTCACTCCATACACTTTAAGCAAGACTAACTGTGACAGACAATACTGCCAATAAAATCATAAAGGTTGTTACTCCTAAAAATTTGGTGTAAATTTGAATAACCTAAAATGTGCGAAACGATGGCTTGTGTGCTGACAGATACCCATGCTCAAAATTTTTAATTATGCTTTGATTGTCCGGCCAAGTGAGCTACAGCAGCGGTCGTCCCCCAGTCCACATCAGAGTTTTTGTATCCATAAAACGTTGGTGCGTTAGTCAGGACCGGCTGATGTCACGACGACAAGTGTGGAGCATTTATTTTCTGTTTTTTAGCGGCACGTAGGAAGTGGTCTTTTTGCGAGTTGGCAGCTCTCCAATAATCGCTCATATACTAAGCAAAGGTGTTAAGTATTTCAGAACGAGATTGTTATGCGAAGTGGTCTCTACACATGCAATAAGCCGGCAACATCAAACAGAAAAGAGCACGAGTGGCAATATTCAGTACCTGTAGGCTCACAATCCCACATGGATAAAGAAAAGCAGAGGAAATTCAAGGGCCCTTTTTACAGCGAAAGCTGTTATGAGATCACTTTTCGGGTCAGGCGCAGTTGTTGTCCGCCGCCACTGCCGCTTGTGTCCGTAACCACATCACGCAAATTTAAAAAAAAAACTTGCACTAATGACCGGGCTTGAACCCGGGTCCGCTGGGTGCCCTCCTAATATTCTAGCACTGAGTTTCGCCGGTGCTTGTAACTTGTCGTCAAACTTGCCATAGGCAGGCATTATCTAGCACCAATGGCACAGTGGGGCTCAAACCCGGGTCTGCTGGGTGCCATCCCAATATTCTAGCACTGAGTTACGCCGGTGCTTGTAACTTTTTGTCAAACTTGCCTTAGGCAGGCATAAGCTTCTTTTTCTTCTTACATGGTATTTAATACAAATGCGGTGTATGTGTATACATAGCGTACAACATACATAGGGTCAAGTCGACAAATGTACAATGAATGCTACGTAGTAAATCTCGTAGAACACAATTCCAAAGGGGTATATGAGGAGAACATTTCGTGAGCTCAAAATACCAGTCCGCCTGAAGTTGCAGTTAGTCGGAAAAGTCCCTTAGCCAGGGTCATTCGCACAAAGTGGCTTCACGAAGACACCACTAGTCCAACTTGCGAGTTTTCAACTATGCATACCCATCGAAAACAGCATGTCAACCGGCATTTCTTGCATTCGGGTAGTACAAGATGACTGACGCTATGATAATTTAAATCCAAATATATTTTTTCAAAGCCCTCTGCAGGACGTCCCAGGAAAGTATGGCGTTCTTACAACTAAAAAAGCAATGTTAGATTTTTTTTCTGGAACCACTGAGCTACACCAGTGCTTGTCACTTATTGTCAAAGTTGTCTTAAAGAGAGAGAAATAACATTTATTGATACATCCTGCGTGTAGGAAGTCCCTTGCCTCACAGGGCGCGGATGTTTTCTATGTCAAGATTACGGCTATTAGAGTCCAATATTCTCAGAGCCTAAAACTCGAGAATGTTGTTCTCCGACAAGGCGAGCCTTAGGCAGCCTTGTTGTCGGAAAACAATCACGTTAATACGACTTAAGAAGCGTTTTACAACAGTTAAAGAACCACCAGTCGTCGCACAATGCGAATAGCGGAAATCGTCGGCCGTCCAATGCTCCAAACCATCATAAAAGCTTCTTTTGTTCCCCTATTACCTGCGGTGCATACTCACTTCAGCCACAATTCCTCATCGTCGTCAGCCACTGCATGGACAATTGGCACGAAATTCCTTGCAAGTGTTTAGCGGATACCACACTTCTTATGATAATGAAGAAAAATAGAGTAGCGAATGCCAGCCTACTATCCAAATGTTTATTATTAATACCCTAGTGGGTACCAAGCAAGTGTGCTTGGAATAGTTACCCAATGATTGTTTTAAAAAGGCTTTGAAAGGCAGCTATTATAGCTTTCACTGTGACTGTGCTGCGCCTACAGCGCAAGCCTGGCGTTTATTCTTTGTTAGACACTATAGTAAAGAAAAATAACAGGAAGCAATGACAAGAAAAGAATTGGTATAATGCTTCTAATAACTTTGATATAAACTACAAGAAACAAAGTGGACGAAGACAGAAGATTCCCTCGTAGGGAGGAGATCTGCTACCTTTGAGTTACACGTCCAGATGTGAACTTGACACCGGACACCTGAGCATCACACAAGAGCATCGGGCGCTAAGTAGACTTTAACAAGTGTTATTGCTGCCTGTGTCAAGTGATCATTTCGGCCACTTTGCCTTTTTCATATTCATAACATAATTATCCGAACCAATCTCTCATATATTTTGCTTCGCATTAATGTCGTTTAGTTGTGTGTTATGCGTCTCACAAAAAAGTCACACCCCGCAGGGGTGCCTGCGCAAGTAGGCGTTTGGTGTGTAGTGACACCACGGACCCGAGCTAACGGGGGAGTTTTGGCTCCCTCCCACGCCTAGCCGTGCGTGGCTTTGCCGTGTCCGGGGAAAAAGGGATCCTGGGGGTTGAGCCGACGCCGGGTGATTGGACCTTTAAGGCCTTCGGCAGAGGCAACACACCCCTTTGGCCCCAGCTTCACGTAGATGGCACCCCTGGGCTGACCCACCCAGGGGAAATCGGCAGTCGCCTTTTCCTATTTCTCTCTCTCTACATCTTCGTCTTTATCACTCACTTCTTACCTGTCCTGTCGTCTTCTCTTTTCCGTTTACTTCCGAATTTCTTGGCGGCTAGGGTTAACCCTGGGGGACTGACCTCCCTTGGTCAGGACCACACGGTTATAGTAGCAATGTATGGCTAACGTGTGTATACGTTCCCCTTATTGAACTGCATGGTGGGAGGCCAGCATAGCTACCGAATGAACATGCTTTTCTGTGGAAAAAAAGTACCCCCCTTTCCACAATGATCGGTCTCGTAAAAGGGGTCGCACCGAAGCAAATAGAAACTTTCTTACTAAAAAGAGCGATTACACAAAATTTTTTGGTGTAACATAACTAAGATTCAGGACATATCACAATTCTCGATTGCAAAAGCAATCAAAGAATGCATTGGAAGCAATTACAGTGGAAAAAAATGAATTCAGGAGATGTCCTCATGGAAGTGAAAAACAAAGAACAAAGTGACAAAATTAAAATTAGACACCTTGGAAAAATCGGACAACATGAAATCCGTGTAACAGCTCACCGATCTCTCAATTACACGCGAGGTGTAATATCGGATAATGAACTGCTCAAGTGCACTGACGCAGAAATTGAGGATGCTTTAGCCGATCAAGGTGTACTCGCCGCACGAGCGATCATCATTCGTAGAGGTAAGAAGGAAACCCACGACGCTTCCTGCTGCAGTTAAGGTAGCGTACCTTTACCTACGTGTGAGGCCCTCCATACCTAATCCTCGCAGGTGCTTCCGGTGCCAGAGGTTTGGGCACGGGTCTCATTCATGTCAAAGTAATCCAACCTGCATGAAATGTGGCCAGAATGAACATAAAGATGGCGAGTGTACCAACCCTTTAAACTGTGTGAACTGCAAGGGGCCCCATGCAGCGTACTCACACTCCTGCTCAGAATGGCAAAAAGAAAAAGACACACTTACACTGAAAACCAAAGAAAACATGCCGTATCCAGAAGCGCGCAAGCGAGTGGTTCTTGCCCAAAAGGGCACTTACGCTGAAACGGTGCGAAGGGGGAAGGCACCACCGACGGTCTCTGTAGGCACACAGGTCGAACTCCAGGACCTAGTGGCCACGGTCCGTCCCCAAGACAAGAGCGAAAAAAGGCACCAAACGCCTTTTTTTCAGGGAGGTCCCAAAGCCTCGACCAGTGTTGGTTTCAGTCAACCTAATGTCGAGGCAAAAGAGGTCTTAACAACGGTGCCGAGTAGACGGCCTCACTTGAGGAGTCCAGAATCCTCGCCGGGCACCAACACTGTTCAGCACCCTGGTGGTGCTGAGTCCATGGACGTGAGTCCATCGGACACTGAAAGCCTGACAGACCCTGCTTCAACAAGCAGGGCGATCAGGCAGCCCGTCATTCCTCCCTGCCAAGGAGGGAAAGGGATCCGAAACACATTTTGGCCCCAGAAAAAAAGAAGTGACGAAGCTC